GATTGTAGTGAAATTAAACTTCAAGGAGATTCAAGTTGAAGTGCAACTCATGTTTCGTCTGGCCAGTGTCTAGACTCAACCGGGTCTGATTCATAGACCCACGTCCTATATCTGACCACCCTGCAACCTTCGGCCCAAGGGGCTCGGTGTTGGGCCGGGACCCTGAACTGGGCCCTGGCGGCGGGGTTCGACCATCGGCACCAGGTCAGGTTCTTCGGGGTCCACTTGGCTGTCCAGCCTGGTCCTAGCTGCTAGCTGCTAAGGGTTTGACCTTCAGTGGTTTAGCATAGCAGTCTTCAATGCACTCACATTCGATGTGTTCTTAGCAGTCTGTTCGATGCATCAACGACTTTGAAAGCCTTGCAGTGGAACCTGGAAGACACATCAACCTCTTCCCCAGGTGACTGGAGCTTTACCCCAAAGGAGAACTCACGCTCCGTCACCGCTCCGTCACCGCTCCTGACCGCGCGGTGACGTCGTGATGGAGTGCGCGGTGACGGGTGGTAGACATGGACACCCCGAATCACAGCGAGTTGGGGCTATATTTTTTTTAAATATGTATCATTAATTATCATTAGCTTGCAAGGTTCAAGATTGTTGGAAACAGTAGGAATCATTTGAACCTCATACCTAAAGCCACACTCTCAAAGCTCACAGACAGGCAGGGCGCACGCGGCGGCATTTGAGCAGCTGGAACGCCTGTTTCAGGCAGGCCGCGGAAGTGCCCACCATAGTTGGCACAGGAATAGAACCAGGTGAATCCAGGTGAGGAAGAATGTTAAAACATAGCACTGGCAAGTGCTTAGTAGGGAAATGAGGGAATGTATAGAACTAGAACCAGTTCTTGCGCAGCTGGAGAAGTAAGACCATTTCAGGCTGCCATGTGAAACAGCACAAAACATGTTCACCCCTTCAACGAGGTTTCAGCGTCCAAGTTCATGAGGATCAGGCGCATTGAGGATCAGGACATTGACCCGAGATCAATTCATATCTGGTGAGCCTGGAGGTACGTACCATGCTAAGCTGCTAACCCTCTTCCCAATGTGGGTTTGCTGAGATGTTGCCTTGTTCAAGTGCAACAACCCCTACATCCCCTCTCCAATCCAAAGGACGCCTGAATACTCCAAGACCAAGACTCGTGAAGAAAACTATGGAACCACTCTCTTTTGCAGGATTCTTGATCATCCCAAAATGTGGGCCGGCTAGCGAATTAGGAAAGCCTAACATGGTGCTTGCTGCCAATCATTGGTGTAGCAGGGCGTTCGGACGGTTTTAGCAGTGGATATGTCATGTGTTTGGCGGTCAAGGGGCAAGATAGATAAGGCAAGGCAGCAAGCAAGCGTGTAGACTTGTGAAGTGCAGCAGCCCATGTGGAGGGCGATTGCAGGCACAGCTTTAGACAAAAACATGTCCCATCTCTCCGTCGCTGGCACTCTGAGCTCCTCACTGGAAGGCCTCAGGGGGAACAACAGCAACAACAACCACGACGACGACGAAGACGACTACTACTCCTACTCCAACTCATCCGACCCTTCGAGCGTATCTGCGCCACCACCTGGTGGTCATCGCACTTCACAGCGGGTGCCTTGAGGCACTTCAGGTCGGTGGATCAGAAGTGGTTCGGGCTTCCCAATGAAATCTCTCACACCATCCAGTGAGGTGCTGGCACCAAAACCACCCTCGATTCATCCAGTCAGTCGACATGCTCAGTGATGGGATTTAACATCTTCCTTGGATTACCCTGGATGACTTGGATGACCCGCCGTTCCAAACTACCCAACAGCTGGTGAGCTCACTTCCACTTGCTCTTTACTCTATTGCAACTGCCTATTTAATTGCAGTGTTCGTCTCTTCTCAGCCGGCTGCGTGGGCGTGGGAAGGCTTCCAGCACCTGTTGCCGCTGGAGCTGCTGTCGCCTGGCCGGAGCGCGAAGGCGCTGGGGCAAGGGGCAGGGCGCTAAGGCGGCGGGAGCGAAGGCGCCCCAACGGGGGAGCATCTGAAGAGAAGTCAAGAGCAGGCGAATCTGGACAGAAACAAACATGTAAATTCTGACCCAAACACGACCTGTCTGGGACTGCCATAGGACTGCCGCCCCAGAGGCCGACCCCCCTGGCACCACCCCCGGCCGTTTCTCGGCAGTCCTATGGCAGTCCCATTAGTCGCGTCTCGGTTATGGATTCTTGATGGTCCTGTATCAGTCTGTCTCCATGGTCGCTTCGAAAAAGCTCAACTCTTGGATGGAGCAAAAGTCTGCAGTCTGCAGTCTGTTCCCATCAATCTGCTCCTCCCAAAAGATATCACCAACCAATATATTCTATATGCTACTATATGGTACGAGTACTATATAGATCTACATATCTATATAATAAATATATATATATGTATGTATATATATATATATTTGTATATTTATATGTATATTACATTATCACCTCACTGGTGTTTTCCCATTCCCACCTTCCCAGGCCGCTCTCGCGCCCTCCCCGCATCGGTCCCGTGCTCGGCCGGTCGTTCGCCTCGTCCACGCCGGGCATGGTGCGGCCACACCTGCAGGATGGATTTTCCAGACCCTCCAGGGCTCCAGTCGTAGCTGAGGTTCGGTGGGACTGAAGTGGGGGACCAGGTGCAGAGACCTTCTGAGGTACTTGGAGCCCTTAGGGATATAATATCTATAGACCATATATGCCATATATGCCGATCAGTTGGGGTGCTTTGAGTTTGAGGCGTCAATGGGGCGGCATATATGGCAGTCCCACTAGTCGTGTCTGGGTTTTGTTTGCACGGGACTCCTCAGCACACGAACCTTTACGGTGGTTATCAGTGGTTGAAGGAGACTTGATAGACACAGGACCCCCTGTTGGTCGGTATGTGTTTTAGAATGATTCCCGTTGGTTGCACTGCTGGGACAACGTCCCATCTGTCGCCGGGGTTGCACGTGCTGTCCCTCTGAAACCACTGTAAGTACCAAGTCAATCGAAGATTCAGTGGGGGTGGACGACCAAACATAGAGACATGGAGACTTACGTGACTCCAAGATGACTTGTGCGATCTATTTACGTGCACCACTGAAGACTTTGGTGATTGAATTATCTAATGCGGGCCTTCTTCGGATGTGGAAAATGCATGAAGTGGAAAATGCATGAAAATGTTTTATTCTGCTTTCTTCGGGGGCTCAGGGCCACAAGCTTCAAAAGTTTTTTTTTTAATAGTCCGTGTGTGACAGGTGCAGCATCAATGTATGCATTCCTTCAGTGATCCTATGACTCTTCAATGTGCAGCGAGCAACTCCTGAAGGTTTCCCTGAACTTCCACATCAAGGCCCGGCAGAATCACCGACTAGCATACTTGCCTGCGGCCATGGCCTCCACCCGGCAAATCATAGAACTTCCTTCCAACCGATGTATTCACCGACCCCCCGACCCCCACCTGGCAGCACGTCGCGGGCCAGAGGGCCTAGGGCCGACACTCAAAGCCACTCACTCCACCGAGCTCCCAAGAACCTCTCTCTTCACCGAGCTCCCATAGCTTAGGACAAAAAAGAAAACCCACGCTAGAAGAGCTGTTTCATATATATATATATATTTATTTAAATACATATTAGAATTGCATTGGATTGATATATTCTGACATTAGACATGGCATTCAATGTTTGATTATCTATCTATCTAAATATATATATATATTATCTATCTATACCTATATATCTATCTATCTATCTATCTATACCTATATATGACACCAGTAAAACTGCCAGTATATATGCTGGTGGACCTGGATCCTCCGAAAGAGACAAGAATCTCTTACTCACCCCGGTGGCTCCGGTGGCTCCCGCGTGCCCGCCACCGGGTGGGTCCCGAGGCTTCCGACTCCGAAGCCCGCATGCGCTCGATGGCCTCCGCAAGCGCAAGCTGGCGGGGGAGTTGCCAGGTGGGTGGGAAGAAGAAAAGGTTGGAGTAGAGAGGGGCACAATGAGAAACGGATTGATATGTGTTCCTTGTTTCAGTTTTTTTTCACGTTTTTGTCCCTACTGTTTTTGCTTTTGCTTCTGCTGGGAGTGGTTTACAAACACTAGGAGCAGCAGAAAGGGCAGGGGACGAAGCACCAAAGCCAGCGTGACAGTGACAAAGGGAGGGGACTTCTTTGCGGTTGTCTTTAGCTTCACTGGTTTCGGGTTTCTTTGGGCTCGGTTTCTTGTCTTTAGGGTTTCTTTAGGCATTCTTCCGGACAAGGCATCCCACTTAACGCAGGAGAAGTAAGTAGGAGTGAGGAAAGAGGAGAGAGGAACTATAATAGGGACTTCTCTGCGGTTGTCTTTGGGCTTCACTGGTTTCGGGATTCTTTGGGCTAAGCAAAGTAGAAATCCACCTTTGTGGCAGCAGCGTCAACGCAAAGAAAATAGTAGTTGTGGTAACTGTGGTAAGACTCGTAGCGGGGTGGTCCGAGCGATAGAGGTATTGGAAATAGTAGGGGTGGTGGACGGTAGTGGGAACTATAAAAAAAAGCGGGACGGGGTGCGGGGGAGGGCGCAGCGCCTCCCCCGCAATGCAAATCAAATATAGACAGCGCTGGGCTGCGTCGTTTCTTGATTGGTGTAATTGGGTGTCAAAGCTCAAGGTGAAGGTCTTATCACCCAACTTTGTGGCAGTGTCAATGCAAAGAAGATAGTCAGCAGAAGCAAAAGCAAAGGCAGAAGGAAACGCAAAAGGCAGAAGCACAAAGCAAAAGCAAATGCAGAAGCAAAAGCAAAAAGCAAAAGCAGAAGCAAAAGCAGAAGCAAAAAGCAGAAGCAGAAGCAAAAAGCAAAAAGCAAAAGCAGTAGTGGACAAAAACGTGAAAAACATCCCAGAAACACAAGGAAAAAAAGAACCAGAAAAATAGGGGTTCCATGAGAAACTGGTTAGGACTCAGTCATAACTCAGTGCATTTGTCAATTTGATCAGATTGGTCCTTCTGCAACTACTCCAGGATGGTGATTGAGCTAAAGGCTATTGATATACCATCGGCCTCACAATGTGTAATGTCAGTTGTTTCTTTTTGCCACCATGCATCAGTTGCACCATCTCCACTTAGGAAACTGAAGACCAAAACCTCGAGCAAAGCAGGCCCCCTCCCCAAGGTGCCAAGCCCTGCGATGGTTTCGCTCTTCGGGATGAGTCTTGGCAGCAGTTTCTTCCTTCCCCTGGTTCATGCACCGCTCCAACCAAACGCTCCAAACAGCAGCTCCCCGGCGCGGTACTTGGAAGTCCCCACGGTAGCGGTACATGGACGCCGCTGCAGGCGCGCGGCGATGGACTGAAATGCCATGCAGCTGTAAGCCGATGTTGAGTGATAGCGTCCAGCATCTGGCAAGTAGGCACCTTTAGGTATACAATGTATACAATATACAGCAAAGAGACGCAGCTAGCTATAGCTGGGCTCTTCATCAACCGAGGCCGGAGCACTCATCTTGCCAGTGTGGCCCTTCAGCTTGAAGGCTGGAGCAGCTGGGGCTGTAGCAGCTGGGCCACTTCCATTTCAACCGATCTCGACTCCTTTCCATCTGATGCGTGAGTGAATTCGGCTCTCATCCGCATCCAACAGGACCACTAAAGCCCAGCACGTGTTGCACAAGTCCTGGAGATTCATGTCGGAGATCTTCAATGAAATCCTCAGTGATTCGAAGATGGGACATGGAACGGGATCCTGAATGGACATCTCCCAACCCAAAGCAAATCACGCGCGGCTCGAAGCCGTTTCCGGAAAGGAGGGTGGGCTTGATGTCGACGGCTTCGTCGTTTCCGTACGGGTTTCGCCGGTCGGCAAACCGAACAGTCGACTGAGTCTGTCGACCCTCCTTGAAGTCTTGAAGACTGACCTTGAAGTTTTGAAGACTGATTGGTAAGTGGTTCTTCTCTACAAACCACTGGTTTCCGCGTGTAAACTGCTTGACCACGGGATCAAAGGGGGTACACTACTTGGAATCGTCATGGAAGTGGAACATTGAGACCAAAACAGGCGGTTTTCACTCTACCTTTTTCGATGATGAGGGGGATAGCCATTGATTCACCGAGGATCCGTGAAAGAAGCGCTGGCCAAATCTGCATCTCAGGCAATTCCTTGAAGTGGGCTGAAGCCCATAAGCAAGTGCACAATGCCTGCGGTGTCATCTCATCAGCTTGAGCACGGGCCTCATGCGCCAAGCCTGGCACCATCTTCAAGACATCCTTGGAGTCGCATTCAGAAGCGCAAGGGGGTGGCTGTGTGGAGTGCTAGAGCCTTAGGAGGTTCTGCGCTTGCAACCCTCAACCCCCTTTGGATTCCCCCACCGAAAAAGGCCCCTGTTGACGCGAATTTCCAAATGGCCGAAAACGGGAGAGAACAGCAATCAAGACCAACACCCTCCAACATCTGTCCATGTGCAACCTCATATGTCGTCCATTTCCACTCATGTTGATGCTTGTTGGAGGGTGATGGTGCAAAATCATTTGGATCCACCGTTTTGAGACTCTGGCGTCGAATTCTTCAGAATGGCAGCCGCCCAAAGACTGGTGGACACCTGCTGAGGAATCATCGGAGTGCTATGCCTACAGATCTGAACCACAAGTATTGGCACGAGCTTTGCCAAATGACCTGGCGCCACATCCAGCAAATGAGCCGATGCCCAAATGCAGTTGGACAGTTCCTGACGGTTCATCTGGCCAGCCTTCCTGCCAATCTGGCCCGCGAGTGCTGGCACCAAATTTGCCACATCTGACGCGGCTGAAAGTCTCAAACGAGCAGCAGCCCACATGCAATTGGCCAAGTGCTGTGGTATCATTCGCTCTACCTGTGCTGGGATCCGAGCGACTAGCGTCGGCACCAGCTTGAGTACATCAGGTATCAAATCCTTCAACTGCGCAGTGGCCCACATGCAATTGGATAAGTGCTGAGGAATCATGTCGTTGGCCTTGCATGATATCCCAGCCACCAGTACAAGCACCATCTTCTGCAGCTCACCTGCGGAAAACACCAAAGGCATGGAGTGGCACAACTGCGCTGTCGCCCACAAGCTGTTGGACAGCTGTTGCGCGTCCATAGCACCAGCCTTGCTTGGAAGGTGCAAAATCAAGGCCGACAGCAGGGACGAGGAGGGGAGCACATCAACGAGGTAGGCCATGGACCAAAGCCTTAGTCAAAAGAGGAGTGGCGCATCACAAGCATTCCTTGGAACTCAATGGCAACTACCCCTATTGCATATGTCATTATATATTACTATATATTACTTTATATTTTTACTATATAGTTGAAGGATGTCCAACGGTTTGGAAGAACAACCAAGCATCAAACAAATTGATCACTGTGAATAACCGTAGGAATCTGTATATAAATAGCTGTCTTTGTCCTCACATGTTTTTTTCAATGATTGTGTTTTCCCACAGCTGCATGTCAATCCTCCATGAAAAACAGATCCTATGTCGGTGGCCTTCTTTTATCTTCTTTTGTTCTGCATATCTAAGTGACACGTTGGCGCACACCCTGGGGCTCACGTCACCCTCTCGCAACAACTCCTCCATCCGCAGCTGCAGTGCACAGAAGCCATTGAGCTGCGACGGCAACTCTGCCGGAGGAGTCGCACGCTGAAGGCACGCCAGCTGGTGATAGAGCGCCTGGTGATAGCGAGGCTGAGGGCCCGAACGGCTCCTACACCTCAGTCATACCTCCTCAGAAGGATTGGACCCTCCTGCCCTCCTGGCACCCACCCCAGTCCCACCTTCTCAGAAGGTACTTGGAGGCCTAGGGAACTGGAGAATCCACCCTCATGGAGACTCTTTTGATGAGGTTGTTCCATTCAAATGGAGGGGTTCTCAATTTCCAGAGTCCACATGACCCCCAGCAGGGCGGGAGTGCGGTTGGTGGCCATCGGGATCGCTTCAAGCAGGCCATCCATCATCCTACATGTGCCCGAGCCCTTTGGACATGTTGGGTACGAAGAACCGCAGGTGGTGGCCCAACTCCAGAAACATCGACCAAACAGACTTGATAGAAAACCACGTACTAGGGACGGTGCTCTGAGCATATTGACCATATTGACTTAGGACTTGCTGATGGGCCTCGGGTAACAACAGTGTCAACTACGAGATGGGTTGGAACATGGCGTGGCCATGGAGGAGGGCTTGATACATCCAAGATCCCAAAAAGCACGGAAAAGTGGGGATAGTGACTTCGAAGAGGACGCTGCCAAGAGCTCTGAAGCCGTTCATTTTAGGGGTCGGGCCCCCTGCCTCATACATTTGAGGGCGTTGAATGGTATCAGATTGTGCGTGCATCCACCACCCCACACAACACACAAGAACGACAAGAAGACAGGAACTTCAAAGGATGCAGTATATCATTGACCTCAGAGTTCAGTCTGTTAAAGTACAACCATTGTATTTCGTCATCTTTCATTGAAGTCCAATAGACGAAGCCGTTGATCGACCAACATCGACTGACGGTCTTCGTCCGGCCCAAGGCATGGCGTCGTTCTGCGCCCCGCCCACGCCCGACCGGCAGAAGCCCCGACCGGCAGACGCTTTCGGGTGGGCATCCAGTTGGATGTGGGTGCCTTCTGGAGAAAAGAACTCATGAGGGCGAGTCCAAATGTTCCATTCTTGGATTTGCTCAAGGAACCTGGAACGAATTTCACAATCAAGAAGGAGATTTAACCATAATTAGGGAACATGAACAAAGATCATAAGCAAAACCAAGCATTTATCTGCCAGCTGGCCGATGCATGGATTGCATCAAAGTATGAAGCCATCAACGCCTCGTGTGCCACCTGGGAGAGCCAAGGTTACGCCAAGCTCCCAGGTTCCAATGAGGCTCGGTGGCTTGGCTGAGAACCACCAATCAGGGAAGATCCGACTGAGCGCTTTAGAGTTTAGAGTGGTTGTGTATGACACCAAACAAAGAAGTCTCCTTGTAGGGTCTTGTTAGGAAAAATGCAGTGTTTTTCACGATGTCCAATACGACCGAAAGCAGTTGATACTTTTCCACCAGGAGGGGAGGACACGTGAGGACGCCCCCAAGTCCCCTAAAAGCCTTTGCTTCGCCAGGGGTACACACGACACCGGAGATGACACTCACAGCAGTCTGGACTGCAACTTCAACAATGCCTGGTGGTTTCAACTCGCTTGAGAAGTATTTGTGGTTTCAATCATCGAAAGTAGAGGCTGAACATCAACATCTCTGAAATTCTGAAACTAAACCACCCCGAAAATCTCTTCCTCAAGCAAATCCAAGGGCTCCATCCTCAACTCCTTGATCGACCGAGTGCCTTTAATCCGCCGCGTCATGCGCAACTTCGCCCCATGTTCCGCGCTCGTCGCAAGGCAGCGCCACAGTGGCGAACGCACAAGGAGGCAGTCCATGGCAAAAAGAGCCGACATGGATGGGACTTTGCGATTTCGTTTGGAAGGCCTATGGGTTCAAGACAAATGTCGCAATCAAGGCAGGCACGAGATAGGATTTCTGGTATGGATCTAGCAATTTGACATGATTTCTGACAAAATGTCGATGGGTTCCTGCCGATCTAGGATGCACCTAGAGCAGTTTGCTTCTAAATATCAGTTGAGTGGACAACTTAACTTATATAAACAAACAAGTAAGTTCTTTGTTGCTGCGTCAAACTTCACCGTCAAACGTAACCTGTTTCTTTACATATGCCATAAGTCAATCACCTCCGCGCCCAAGACCCATCACCACCGAGAGCCATCACGGGGTGATTATGGGCTCACATTACCCAAGAGTATATACATGAATCAAGTTATCAGGACTAGTGGATGTGGCATGGAACAAGTTTACAGTGACAGTCTATATCTATACATGTATATATATATATGTGATACTTATACTATACTGACTTCTGAAACTTGTAGAGGGCGCCATCCCATGGAAAAAGCGAACGATATACCTTGATACCAAAGGGGAGTCGTGGCTCTTCCAGCTTCTCCAGCTCATCCCCTGGTCCACCCCCTGTGGCGCTCAAACACAGACTATGACGCTTGACAAACAGTATAAGCTAACCGTTTCCCTTGCCCATTCAACGAGAACGTGCTCTGAGAAGAAGAGAGGAGTCCGAGTCCCAAAGCAAAAGCTTTTGCAGTTGTTTTCGTTCCTGTTTGGCCGCGTGAAGAGCACCCATATACAGAAACACATAGAAACACCAATGTCGAACAAGAAATGCTGGAACAGGTTGTTCCAGGTCCCAGGATGGCCGATGCAACTCTTTGATCACTTGGCAGTTCTCAACAAGTAGCCACCTTTGGAACATGCATTTCTACATATTTCTACCATCCTTTACTTCAGCCACCCGGAGTTCTATCCAAGCAACCAGTCTAACACTCCTTGAGGCCCTTGCCATCCTCTCAGTGAGTCAATCCAAACATCCCATTTGGGCCACTCGATTTGCGAGCCGCGGGCCGTGCCTCTTCCAATTCATTGTCCTCTGTGTCATCTTCTTGAATATGCAGGTCCTGGCAGGGCTTTCGGGCCAGGGCAGGACATTGACCACAGGCTGTTGCGCTGGGCCTTACACAGAAAGATAGAAAAAGCACCCCTCTCAAGAACAACAACCGCTTTCCGCCCCATCGCTCATCTTGAGCCGATCTACCGCTCACTTGACTCACTCGACTCACATTTGCCAGGAACCCTGCCCTCGGAGATCAGAAGGTGTGGAAGGTGCGGTGCTGCGAAGGGCCCCTGGCTGAGTCCTTTCCTACCGCGAGTCCATACCGCTCTGCTTCTGACCGATACCCTCCTGCAAGGCACCACATGGGCCCTGAAGAACCACTGGGTGGTAGATGATAATAATTGTCTTACAGAAGTCCATTTCATATACTCATAATCCATGTTAGCCTGCAGGGAGTTTTTTGGGGGAATCACCTGTCCAAGATCTGGGAGATACAGCGCCTGATCCAGATTTGCTTGGCGTTTTTCTCACTTTCAAGACTCCTAGAGCTTTTCTGCTTTTCATCCTTGCAACCTTTTAGCAGCCCTCTTAGCTCTGACGCCCCCCCTCGACGCACGATAAAAGGAACAACCGTCTAGCGCGCAACAAGCGTCTCCTCCGACATGGCGCGGCGGGCTGCATTGGCCGCCACCTTCGTCCGCTGAGACGGTTGAGAGGCTCCGGTGACCCGTTTTTTCCTTTGGAAGGTTTTGGACCACTGTAGGGGCTCCAATCGTACCTCCTCAGGTTCGGTATGACGGGAGAACCTACATGTCTCCAGTGTCTCCAATCGCCTTCTCGGCACTGGGAGCCTTACTAGGGATTCTGTGAGTAAAGGAAAAATGGTTCATAGTCGTTCCAGGCATCAGGCCATCCACGCAACCATGTGATGTGTCCGTCAGAGGGTAGCCCAAGTTGGAAATCCTTTGAGAGGTAACAAAAGAACTGAAGTCAACTGAGCCACCAGACTCCTGGCTAGAACTAAGCAAGCTAAGCAAGCCAAAGTGAAGAAACACACTATCAGCTTTGCAATTTTTGCCCACAGCGCAACGGGCAACACAAATCCCTCCCTCCTCCCGAGCCTCTCATTGCCTCTCAAAAGCAATCCTAAGTCACCCTTGAGCTCCTTATGTGGTTGCAATACCATAATCCACCAACCCATAAACTGACCGCTCACCTCAGAATCCCTCGAAAATGCAGGCTCACCGGTTAACCAAACGTTCGACCTGCTCTTACCTCTCAAGCGAACGAGATTCGATCACACGCCAACTGAAAACAGGGTGTTGTCACCCATGGCCGTGGAAAACCACAGACCACCCATCGTAAACTCTGGCCAGCAAGAGCGGCGGCAAAGAACACCCCACAAAGAAGCGCACTACCATTGCAGCTCAAAAAGTAAACATCGAGACCAAGAAAGGCCACAAAAGCCTATACGGCATATCCCCAATCGCCTCCAAACTTAGTTTTTTCCCCTTTTGCATCTTATCCAACGAGCCACTGACTACACACTAAGTAATTCCTCACCAGCCAGCCCAGCCCAGACGCCTGGCTGGGATCCTCCTGAGCTGACACCGGCCTGATGGTGGAACCCAAAGGCGTCCGGTGGCCGGGTGAGAGATCCAAGGGCGGTGCCACTCGAGTGGAGAAGAAGACTCCTTCGGACTTCTTTGAGTTTTTGGAAAGGGGATGTTCTTCTCTGGACCATTAGGGGGGCGGAATTTGGGAGATGCCACCATCATTTTATTCTCGAATGCATCGTTGAGGTGACGGTGAGCCTTCCAGATTCAACCAAATTCGTCCTACAGGTTGCCCTTGCTGGAAGTTGAGAAGTCACTTAAATCCACCTGTGATAGGACCTCATGGGCTCATAAAATGATCCCAAGTGGGTCAGGATTTCTGGATCGCCAAGCATGAGCAAGTCTGCCGCTGTGGTCATGAGCCGTTATATATTGCAGTCCCATGGGCCATTCGACCATTCACCAGAGACCAATTGGATGGACTGAGGCTAGTGGCCCAATGGTCCTATGGAATTGGACCATTCGATGATTCACCATTTGCGCCATTAGTCAGGCGCATCCCATTCGGCGAACGAATCGTGGAGACTCGCGAAATGAACACATCACCGGAGCTGGGAACCCTCAGCTTCATTTGGCCTTCTGGCTACCTTCTGGCTGGTTTAGATCTGTAGGGGGGAGGAACCCTCCACGAGTGAATGTGGGCTGAATTCAGAAAGTGGTAGAAACTTGGCTCATATCCTATGAAACTTGTAAAAAACCCAGGCCTAATTATAGTGGATGATGATGATGGTTGGGTTGCAGGCCTTTCCTTCTCAAACAGGCTGAAAACGTAATTGACCGACAGTTACTGGTTTGCTGGGTGTGACACACCCTAGTAGAAACAACCACCAACCTCCTGAGGGCTCTGTCACCCAGCGGGGGAACATACCCAGGGCCCGCGGGCCGGCATTCCTTTTCCGCCAAGAAAAAGGCTCGATGTGCAAATTGACCACACAATCAATACTAAGACTTGGGTGTGTGTGCCCTGGTCAGGAAAAAAGGACAACAGCAACAATAGAAACATCTTTTGGCCCCTGACACTGTGTTCAATTCTTGCTGTTTATGTATATAAATGATTTGGTCACGGCTATCATCAGCTACAGTACCCTATCATGCGATCATAAAGCAACTGTGTCTTGTATTTTCCCACACTTGCCCTCTTATTGCTATAGCTATACTCTGTCTTGGACATCTCAGTTCCAGCTCAACAGTTGCTATGGATGGAGCTGGAGCCCTCTGCCCCTAGGCTAGATATGGGGAAAACAAATGAACCAGGTAAGCACCAGGTGTATCACATTCTATCCATTCTTCTTGCGGAGCTTCAAGATCAACACTTGGGTACCTATGGGCACCGCTTCTCACAAGGTTTTGGTCTCAAGCCGTCCTGCGATGCGTACATGCAGCTCCTAGAAGTCGCAGGGGAGGACCCAGAACGACTAAGTCGTGACCCATCAAGGGGGGGTCTGGCCATGACGACCAGAGGACCAGGTCAGTGCATCGTTGCCTTCATCCGCCTTCGATCCATGCAGTTTGGTTGATCCACCGTTCCGACTGAAGGACGACTGAAGACTGCAAACTCGATCTTTCAATTTGGTATAAACACTGGTATAAACTATAATAGATCGAGAATAATAAAGAATATAGTTGTCATTTTTTTGTGTTGTTTTTTTCATGTGTTTCCTGTGGGTTGTCCCGTCGGAGAATCCAAATGTGTGATTATTCCTCGCCCGACGAGTCCAGCGACTTTTCTTCTCGACTGCGACTTTCTTTCGATGCCTTCAGGGCTCGCACACCGAAACCGCTCGCCGGGGGGCTCCCTGTGCCCGGCGGCGAGTTTTTGAAGCTCATAGACGATCGGCGGAGGGCGCGTGCTAATGCCAGTCTCCAAGAGGATCCTGCTAATGCCGGTCTTATCGTGTCGTTTAATGACTCAGGACACGCTTACTACAAGCAAACACACGTGTCAGCACCACCCAGTTCGGGCGCTTTGTAGTTTGATAGACGCACCTGATGATGCATTTTCCAATAACAACCCTTTGGGTGGTGCTGGCGGCAGTATTATAGATATAGGATATATACCCATCTACCGGTGAAAAAGGGCCCCCAATCCACTTCAAGTGCAGCGTCGTGAGTGGCTAAGCAGTGGCTGCAAGCCATGTATCATCTCATATCTCCATTCTCACAGGCCCCCATTCTCCTTTGGTAACGGAAAATATCTGTGTGCTTGGCCGCTAGGCCGTGGCCAGGGCCCAAAGATGATGTCATCCTATCACCCCAGGAACCTTCTTACTTTCATTTCTTCAGTTTCCCTGAAATAAGCATGCCAAACTTGAAATCTTTCTACACCTGTTCTATCTGCCACGTGGATTGTCCCCAATCCCCCCAAAAAGGATCAAAAAGGTTTTTCAGTCAGGTTACCCACTTTTCCTGGTTAGGTGCTGCTGTCAAACTGTGAGATCCTTCAAGTCTCATCATTCTCAGCCGTTCATCTGCTTGCTCAAGCACTCCGCTCGGCTCAAGCGGCGGCAGCTGCCTTGGCGAATGCGCCGTCCTTCCAAAATACGAAGTAGCTGGTCTCTGCAGATTCATGTTATCATGCAGGTGGTTGATTGATGTTGATTGGTCAAACTTCAGGGAGGGGTCTAGTCTAGTTAAACCAGCCTTCCCTGGCCGGCTGCAGACCCCAAAAGGATCGTCGGACTTCTTCCCTTCACTCGGCTGCCACCTTCCTCAAAACTCGATCAGAATCACTTTGCGAGTTTAGTCGGCGCGGCGGACACTCACGCACTTCTCTCAGGTCCTTTCCAGCCCGAACTGTACAAGAAAAATGCTTCATGACTCATGGTGCTTTGCAAAATAACTCCCCCAGGCCCAAAGTGAGTCAGAGTCCTTCCCTATACCTTTCCCGAAATCATCATGTAAGCATATGTTAAGTCTAGTGGATGGCATGGCCCCGAGTTTGGAGTGCCATGAAATCCTCATACCAAACACGTGGTGACCTTCACTTGCCCTATGGATCCACTGCCACCGTACCTCAGAAGGTAATTGGACCTTCCTGGCGCCTACATACATAATCTCCCTGCTCACCGTACCGACCTGGTTCGGTATGTGGATCCGTAGATTTGCATGATTTCAGGGAGTGTACATCATACTCCATTCATCTTGCCAGCCGATCCCAGGCAGTTCAGTCGGTCAAATGCCTATTTTTTCACAGGTCACTGTGGCGCCAGTCCGGTGGCGGCTTGATGCCGCGTTCGCGTAGGATCTCCAGGGTGACCTGGAGTGGATCAGTGGGAAGTAGAAGTGGGTCTGTATAGGGTGTGACTATGTAATTGTAGATGAAGAGTGGAGATACCCCAACCCCAAAGAAGTAAGAAAAACACCGTGCCAAGCGTGAATCCATCGGCCGTCTTGGAGAATTTCAACTCCAGCGTCGCTGCAGCTTTCACGCCCTTGCCCGTCTTCGTGCGAAAAGTGCACACTCCCCGAAGTTCATCGTCCTTGGCTAGTTCCGCGAGCGACTCTGCAACGGTGGGGCGAAATGAACGAAGAAATCCTGAAGACCTAGCAGCCGCTTCAGGTGCAAGCATCTTGCCAAAGCTATCCTAGGCATGATAGAAAAAAATGATAGAAACACATACAGTAGAAACTACTGCCCCAGCTCTAGCAAGGCCAATCACAAATAGGAAGCGGCGTCAGTCTTCATGACAATTACTCGAATTCAAAAGAACAGTTCGATCTATTGTTTGATACTACGTTGCTCACACACCTAGATCACCTAGATCTCAAAGGGATTATATAGGCACATGTTTCACTTGAATCAGGGTCAGTACATGACTCCTTCTCCTTCTGTGTTTGTGGAACAATGTGGCCATGTTTAGAAAAGCTGAGCACCTCCAGCCCACGCAGTGCCACGCAGCCCAACTGAGCAGGGATTTGTTTAAAGATGTGGTGTTCTCATCCCTACGGTTTGGCTACGTAGAACCCTACGGTTTGGCGACGTAGACCCACAGTGAAAGCCTTTCATGTCAAAAAAATAACTCAGCCCAAGTCCCCAAGTCCCTTGAATCAGGATCAGTACATGACTCCTTCTCCTTCTGTGTTTGTGGAACAATGTGGAACATCTGGCCATGTTTGTCTCAGAGCTGAGCACCTCCAGCCCACGCAGCCCAAGTGTCTGAGATGAGGTGGGGATAATTCCGCGCCACTGGATTTACCTCTCCCCAAGGGTCACGCTCGTTCAGGGCGTCGATCAAGGTGCACTTGGCACCCTTGGGGCAGTAGCTATCGCTTCGACATTCCAAGGCACCTCGAGGAGCACAGGTCGTGGACCAAGTTTAATGACTCCCCTGGCTTCTTGGGAATATAAAGGTCAACCGAAGTGTCCACATGCTCTATCCGTCGGGTGGGGTGTCCCCAAAACCTCCTCAAACAGGTTGATTACAAGATATTCGCCGCTTTTCTCGGGTGGAAATGGGAAGTTGCGAAGCTACCAACGGCTCAGTCTGAGCGTTGAGACCCCAGGATCTTGGTGCAAGGCATCATCGGACACGTCTTGGATGTTCAGTCTAGACATCCACATTGCGAGAAGCAAACAACATCTCGTGGGATTCAAGTGGTTTCGACCATTCGTCCCGGCAGCTCTGGATCGGATCTCAAGTTCCCTTGCGTCAATCTGGGATCTGCTGAGTTCCCTCCCTGAGATCTGCTAAGTTTCTGAAACCTCGAAAAAATGGCTGGTACTATGGCTGGTGGGGAGGAAGTCTTGCACACACAAGCATCAACAATCCCTGTTTGGAACATTTGCCTTTTCCCTTGGGGTCATCTGAAGATGTTTCCAAGGTCAATGTAGGTAAATAAGGGCAACCCTGGCCTTCAAAGACCATTAGAAAAGTGTTTGATCTGTTTTGTAGTGTCAAACCCTCAGTAAACCAAAGGTTGTCTGGCAAAGACCATTAATTAAAACACTGGTTGTTGAATGATGTTGGAATCCCACGGGGGTACATGTGATTGTCCATACATGCCTCAAGTACCCTCAAGTCCGCCTAGCGCGGCCGCCTCAAGCGCGCGTGGCCGAGCTGCAGAATTGCTTCCGCATGTCCGGATGAGTGGGATCGCCCGTGGGCGCCGGCACCAAGAGGCCTTCGGGGGGGCGCAAGAATGGAGGGCGTCCAGGCTGTATGTGGACTGGGTGTGGACGACCGGAGGGCGTTCATGCTTTGTTGGGTTGGGAGGTGGTTCTTCGAGTTCTTCGGGTTTCATGTTGTGTTGCCGATGTTGTTTTCTTCATAGGGCACCTGGCAAACCCGGCAACAGCACACATCGGTTGACATCATCCAGAGCATGTGACATCTGCAAGGAGGGCCCGGCAAGAGTCCATAAAGGAGCGCAATAGCGACTCAAATATACTCAAATAGCATCATGATGGGCATCCTATAGGAAGTTCAAGTCGGGTAAGGGCTTGTACGGCTGATTTTGAGTCAGGCCTCCTTTCACCAGGTTCACATATCACTAAAATCGAAATCGGTTCAAATACAAAATGCAGCCAAGGTGCATTTGGGCTTGGCAAAGGTTCCCTGCGGCCTCCTGAAGATGAAGCTCGAAACGACCAACGGAACGAAATTCTTTTGAGAGCCGGATTTCGGGCACAGTGCTCAGTCAAACCCTTGTATAGTAGTGTGCAATTACTACCCACCCGGGCTCCTGGCCTACCTCCGTTGGGTCCCCGGTGGGTCCTAGAGATACCGAGGTCCCAGAGGATATGGGCCACTAGAGATACTATATATTATATGGCTATGCGTCATCAGCCCAATCCCAATTCAGCTCCTTTGGTCAGTTGCGCCTGCTGTAGTTAGTACGGTTGAGGGGAGGAATCACTTTTATCCTGCATTGCATTGTGAGACAATATCCCCCTAAGGATCCAAGTACCCTCTGATGTGTTTGGGGTGGGTTTGGAGGGTCCAAGTACCTGTTGAGGAGGCACGACTGGATCCCTAGGGTCCTAATGAACCATTGATCTAGGCTTCCCTCAGAGTAGACGGCTCAATCCCACTCTGACCATTTGAAGATGCTCATAGTGCTGTTCAACTCAGGCCACCTTCAGTTCCTGTCCGGGAACCTCCTACATCATCCAAGTCCAAGCACTTTAAGCCAAAGCGTCTCATATGGACAAGCCTCATGAGCCACCTCTGGACCACAATCCGTTACGCAAAGAGAGCGGCCGCTGAGGCTAGCTAAGGTCCTCAGATCGAATCCCACATCTTCTTACTTGGCAGGTCGAATATGGGAGTCAACATGTGATGACTGAAGTCACCTCCAAACTGATGAAGTCCCCTCCAAACGGGTGCGCCAAACGGGTGAGAAATGGGGGTCGTTCTTTTGCAAGAAGGTGGGAGAGTTCTAGGCTCCTCGGATGGAATACCAGCATGAGTCTGTTCTACTTTCATCTCAGGGGCAGGAGGGTTCTTTTGAAATGGAAAGGCCGAAAAAGTTTTAGGGTTCAACACTGTTCGCCCGAGCATCTCTCCCTCCAGGCATGGTGGCTTGTCATATCTGGCGCTCGCCAGGCACAACAAAAGCGGCCAAAGCCGCTCCACCATGGCCAGCAGGATTTCTCTGGCCAGTGTGCTGTGGTGAGAGTCTCTCACACCAGCAGTTCCAAAGGAATTCTTTTTAGGCCCTAAGTGAGTGGATGATGGGCACCCTGAATTCTAGAGAACATCCAAGGAGTTTTCTGTGGCACGTTGAGGTTTGTGATCCACAGCAAACCTACTGGCACCTCCTAATGAGACCTGCAGGGTGCGGGAAGGAATCCAATGTTCAAAAGGACGGACAAACCACAAGCTACAAGCCATGGCGACCCCCATGTAACATCCATGATTCAAGCAGGGCATACAGGTGACATGGGCCAGTTGGACACACCTGTGCTGTCCGGTTTTAGCAAAATCTATCCTTGGCAGAATCGAAACCGCCCGTTCCAACCCCAATAGCCACAACTTCAAGCAAAGCCAACAAATCGAGTTCTCAAGGAGAACGTGCTTCCCACAAAAAATAATCCAAACTGCGATGGATGCGAACAACGCCGGTTTGATGCAGACGGCACAACTGCTCCCTAAAATATACTCCCTGAAGCCATCGAAGTGGATGGCCTGGAAATGATTGGATGACCATGTTCCAATCACCAGAATCATGTGTATTCCACTTCTATGTCTGTCATGTTTCTTGGAGGGGGGGGTACTCACTTGTTAGTTGAAGGGTTTTCACCTGCCTCTCACATCTTGCTTCACTCTCTTCACTCAGCGTTTGACTTCAAACAGCAAGCGGTGCGGGCTCGTCTCCACGAGCAACGGAAACCGGTCAGACTGGGGCCATGGCTTGGCTGAACGACTTGGACCAAACATGACCGGTGGCCACATCGGTTGGAGTCCACCGTTTCAGCCCACTCCGGCCCAACCGCAAACCGCGAACCAACCGCTGTGTTGGGGAACTCGTTCGCGGTTCGAGGGACAGTGGAAATCTGGCAGAAACTGGGTTGTAAACATCCAAAGAAATGTTGTAAGGCAAGGCATAGTAAGGTTCTCAGCATCGCATGTTGGAAATATGGGTGCACAAATCTTTGGGCTCTGGGGTGTATAAAGAATAACTTCGCTTAAACATATACGGGCGGTCCCTGTATGTCCCTGTAGCCGCTTCTACCTTGAGAGGAGAGGACCACCCACTGGCTAATATTCGATAGAGGCAACAAGTAGATGATCAATGGATCCCATCATTGTCGCTGATAACCTACATGATCCATGATTGCACAAGCGCACTGGCAACATGGTCACCACGCATCGAACCTCTACATGATTCATATACAGTATATGCTGATTGGAACCTGAAAACGTTGCAGCTATAGAGGAAAACAGGAGTTGACTCCATCCCGCTGATCTTGGACCTTCTCGCCCTGAGAACGGCCCGCCCACCCAGTCCGCCCCGACCCCGCCCCCCCCTTTGCAGCGCAGAGGACGGGCGTCTCAGGCCTAGCGGGGAAGCCTCGTCGAAGGCGTGCGATGGTGCGAGACGAGGAACATGCCGATCACATGCCCAAAGGAGCCATGTCCATGCAGTTGGATTGGGACTGCCATGTCGGACTGCCGATCAATTAGGGTGGTGCCAGGGGGGTCAGTGTATATATGGCACTCCCATGGAGTGTCTGGGATGTACATGCAGTTGGATTGGGACTGCCATACTGCCGAGAAACGGCCAGGGGTGGTGCCGGTCAATGTATAATTGGTCGACATATATGGCAGTCCTAGTCCTGGTCGTGTGTGGGATGTACATGCAGTTGGATTCAGAGGTTCGATGGCACCACGCCACCCCAAGATGTCTGTTCTGTAGGGCTCGAAATGAACCACCTCACGACGGCCTAGGGCCCCCCCCTGTTCGTGCCATCTACTTCTTGACGCCACTGAAAGTGTATAATTCAGCAAGCATACGGCCTAGATTTGGTGATTGTTGGGATGTTTGTTGGTGGTGAATCTGGGCCACGCCGCCTGACATGGATCGTGGGTGACCCGACCTACAGGCCAAACGGTCCGACATGGACGATGAGGAAGGAAAAGCAGGTCTAACCGACCATGACGCTGATCTTCTGGGTTCCATGATGGTCTTCTGCAGGGGAGTGGATGATGACATCTCAGAGAATGAGTGCTACTGTACGTCAGGTGCTTTTCTCTTTTGCAAGCTGTGAATGCCGAACTGTCACATGGACCCTGAAAATGGACCCATCAAAAATACATGTCCTCCCAGTGTTTTTCATGTGGTTTTCGGAGTCTATGGCAAAACTGCAGGAGACTAAGTGACCGTAACCTTAGTATATATCTCAAGGGCTTTTGCAAGTTATTCTTTTTCCGAAAATCGGTGCTTCCGAGTGGCTGGGCGGTGGTGGAGGCAAGCGGGTGTCCGAGAAGGTCTTCCCCTTTAAACGTTGATCCAACCTGCGATGCGCCGAGCAGGATCCGGCGAGCGATGCGTGGCGGGGCCGGTTCCACCCGTGTGAAGCACGTGGTGACCCACAAGAACCGCTCGTGGACAGACGTGGACCGTCTCAATGAACCAGTGGCCTAAAATCCTGGAACACAGTGGATGCAGTTCTTCGGCAGGAAAAAAACAGCGACGCATGGATCATCTCATCACTCAATAACCTTAGA